ATCGAAAAAAAGTCAAAATAGAAAATAAAATGAAAATGCCATTTTAAAATGGTAGTTGTTATTTGGGATGTCTAAAATCTAGGGATGTATATATAATTTAAAAAAAAATTAGTCTGGCTAATTTTTGCTAAATTAATTAATTTATTTTCTTACATTTAAACATTTTTTTTTTTTTTGAGCCAGTCTCACTCTGTCACCCAGGCTGGAGTATAGTGGCACGCTCACTGCTCCTCACAGCGATTGCAGCCTCAACCTGCTGGATTCAAATGATCCTTCCACCTCAGCCTTCCAACTAGCTAGAACAACAAGTGTGTACCACCATACCTGGCTAATTTTTAGATTTACTATAGAGACAAGGTCTTGCCAAGTTGCCCATGCTGGTCTCAAACTCCTAGGCTCAGGCAATCCTTTCACCTCTGCTTCCCAAAGTGTGGGGGTAACAGACATTACATTTGAACTTTACTATTAACATAATTAACCAGGCAATTTTTAACTAAGTCTTGAAGATCAGGAGGATTGAGCTAGACACAGAAGGACACAAAAATGTATTCCAGTAGATGTGAAATCCCAGAGTGTGTTAGTTTTGTAGGGCTGCCATAAAAAAGTTACCACAAGCTGAGCAAGGTGGCTTACACCTGTAATACCAGTACTCTGGGAGGCTGAAATAGGAGGACTGCTTAAGCCCAGAAGTTCAAGACCAGCCCAGGCAACATAGCAAGACCTCATCTCATTTAAAAAAAAAAAAAAAAAAAAGCTGAGCATGGTGGCATGCACCTGAAATCCCAGCTACTCAGGAGGCTGAGGCAGAAGGATGACCTGAGACCAGGAGATAGAGGCTGTGATGAGTCATGATCATGCTGCTGTACTCCAGCCTGGGTGACAGAATAAGACTCCTATTTTAATAATAACAATAATAATAATAACAACCATAAACTGACCTGAAACAAATATATTATTCACTCACATTTCTGAAGAATTTAAGTCTGAATCCAAAGTTTCAGCAGGGCCATATTCTCTCTGAAGGCTCTAGTGAAGTTTCCTTCTTTGCCACTTCTAGTTTCTGATGGTTACTGGAAATCACTGGTGTTCTTGGCAGGCAGCAGGATAACTCCAGTCTCTGCCTCACTCCTTCTTGCCTGGATCTCTCTATGTCCCAAATCTCCTTTTCCTGATGCGAATACCAGTGACTTAGGACCTACCCTAATCCTTGTGACCTCATCTTAACTTTATTATATCTACAAAACGTTGCATGTACATAATGTCGCATTCACAGTTTCAGAGCGGACATGAATTTTGAATGGGCATTATTTACCCCAGTACACAGAAGTAGGGAAATATCAGGTCACAAACCACTTGTTTTCAAGACTTTGAGGTCAGACTTTACCTTCTGAAGATGGAGTAAATAAATAAAGGTATATTGAAACCAAGAAGCAGTATGATCAGACTAGCATTTAGAAATATATCTCAGACAGCAGGATGGAGAGGAGCAAAAAAGATACCATCAAGATGTCAGGTTAGGCTGACAAATGGGAGTAAGTCTGAGTTTTCAGAAGTGATCCTAAATTTCTGTGGAAAGTAGTGTTCTGCAGTCAAGAAATTCAAGAGGAAGAGCTGATTTGTGGGTAGCAGGGGACTAGGGACAGCATGATGAACTACATTTTATATCTATTTCATATATATATGGGAGACACCCTAAAAACAGAATTTGTTTAGAAAAACTTGTGTATTTATTCTTACATGTTTAAACTTCAGACACCATCAAACTACTCTTCGATTAATGCAAAGCACCCATTGAGATGCTTTTTCTAATGCTCAAAACAGTTTTTGTACTTGAACTTGTCATTTTTGAAGACTTTTAGTGCTTCTGACATTTTTTTTTTTCACCTCGTCCACATCAGCAAAATGTTTCACTTTGAGGACTTTTTCATCTGGGAAAAAAAAAAAAAAAAGTCACCCTGATGAGTCAGGTGAACAGGGAGGGTAGGGCACTGGGGTCATACCGTTTTTGGTCAAAAACTGCTGAGTACTCAGCATGGTGTGGGCAGGTTGTTCATGTAAATCACACATCATGAAATGGGCAAAGGCATCGAAAGAATCTCTGAAACTGAAGTTGAACTAGGCCTCTCATGACAACACTAGTTGGTACATTGATGCCAATGAGTTCCTAGAACACTTATCTGGCAGGGAAATCCTGTACTGCAAGGGGCCCGACCTCTGAAAAACAGTTCCAGATTTTTGGGTACCTTCTCTCATTCATATATATATATATATATATATATGAATATATATACTTTTAATTTTTTTACAAGTACATAATTTTCAAAGTCAAATATTGTCAAGAGGGTACACATATAAACACAAGCATATACACAGCCCCTGCCTACCTCTTACCTCAAGTTCCTTGAGATTTGTAGTTTCAACCCCTTTATACATTATTCCTGTTATTTTTTCTCTTATTTAAACAAAACCTATATCTTGCTAATATATTAGATGAGGACTTTAATTTATTCCTTTCCTTACTTTCTCATCTACCCATCCTTCCTTTACAGTTATTTCAAAATCACATTGTGTTACCAGTATTATGACTCTGAATAATTTTCATAATTGATCCAATTAGTAGTGTTCTGTAATAATATTTTTCGTTACAACTTTCTGTTTTTTCCATGATTTTATTGATGTCTTAATATATGATTTGCTTGTTTATTTTTTAAACCTTGGTTAATCTTCCTACAATTTTCAACAGTTCAGTAAAATTTCTTTCAACTGAATTATAGCAAATGGTAATGTAGAAAGATAATTTACATTCTTATTTTTATTTTCTTTTAATCATCCTTTTTTCCCCTGCCTTACTCTGATCTGTACTGGTTTCTTTGTAAGCCTGGTTTTTTTTGTTGCTGTTGTTTGTTTGTTTGTTTGTTTGTTTGTTTGTTTGAGTTAGAGTCTCACCTCATCGCCCAAGCTGGAGTGCAGTGGCACGCTTACGGCCACTCCAGCGTCAACCTGCTGGGTTCAGGCGATCCTTCCGCCTCAGTCTTTCAAATAGCTGGAACTATAGGCACGTGCTACCATGCCCCGCTAATTTTTGATTTATTATAGAGATGAGGTCTCCCCAAATTGCCCAGGATGGTCTCACCAAGTTGCCCAGGCTGGTCTCGAACCTGCAGGCTCAGGCAATCCATTCGCCTCGGCCTCCCAAAGTGCAGAGATTACAGGCTGAGCCACCGAGCCCGGACTGTAAGCCTATTTTCACTGTTTTGGTTGTCATTACCGGACTTACCTCTAGTATCACCTTGCAAATCCAGGAGAGAAAAATGATCAAGGTCTCGAAAGAAGAGCACGAGAGAGGGAGGGAGAGGCAGAGAAGGAGAGAGGGAGGGAGAGAGGGAGAGAGAGAAACATAGAATCCAGGGCACATACAATGATTAAACTTTGAGAGAAGGTGGAAGATTGGTTCTAAACTGAAAACTAAAAGTTATGGACTTGTGTGTATGCGGCTTAACTTTCAGATGAAAGTGAGGAAATAACTCTCTATTGAAGAGCTTCTATTTATTTTGGAAAATTGGATCTGGTCCAAATGCAGTGGTGATTACATGTCGTTACAAATTTCTTTTTATCTTTTCTGCTCTTACTTCTTCATTTGACTTGCCTTAAAAAAAAAGGAAGAAAAAAGAAAAATGAATATTGGAAGAAAGATGATCTGATTATTAGGTGTGTGGCAGGACTGGCTGTCAACCCTATAGGAAAGTGCTAAAGGGACTTATTAGGAATAAGTGATCAGCCTGGCGCAATGGCCCAATTCTTTAATCCCAGCACTTTGGAAAATGGAGGCAAGACGATTGCCTGAGCTCAGGGGTTTGAGACCAGCCTGAGCAATATAGCGAGACCTTATCTCTACAATAAATAAATTTTAAAAAATTAGCCGAGTGGGGTGACACATGCCTATGGTTCCAGCTACTTGGATGGCTGAGTTAGAAGGATTGCCTGAGCTCAGCAGGTCAAAGCTACAGTGGCCGTGAGCGTGGGACTGCACTCCAGCCTGGGCAACAGAGAGAGACTTCGACACTAAAAAAAAAAAAAAAAAAAAAAGGAATAAGTGATCAAATGAATCTGGATAATCATGTATGGAAACTACCACCACTCCCTCAATTCCAGAATCTTTATACTAAGGAGCTTCACACATTCTCAAGAAACCACTCCAGGCCCATGAGGCTCTTGACTGCAATTGATTTTTTCCCCAACATCTTGTTGATAAATTAGGGTATCTATCCACTAATAACTTTCCATATAAGCTGTTAGCAAAGGAAATCATTTCCATAGTACTACCTATAAGTTATACTGTTGAAGAGTTACTGTATAAAATGTCAATTCCATGATTTTCTCCATTTGCACTAATTGGTTTTTTTCCCATTGTTTGTTCATTGACTTCTCTAAACTCTTATTTAAGATGTATATGTAAAAATGTGTATGTACGTTAAATGTATATAATAAAGGAAATGATTAAGTTCTTGAGTCAATTGGTAAAATCATTGCAAATATGATCCAAATATACCATTTTTTAGCCTGCTCTTTTAACCATAGAGCTACTCTTTTTTATGTGTGAAGGTGAGAATACAGATGGTATTTGTTATCCCTTATATTAAGATTGCTTTGCAACTCAACCCATATTTGTACTTTTTTCCACTCCATAAGGAGCTAATTTATCTACCACTTCTTTCCTAAGAATGCCAGGAGTATAATAGAGTAGGCAGTTTCAAAATGTACTCTATTACATTCTTAGAAAGCAGAAACCTTTTGATTAACCCAAGATGTAAAAAGAATTCTGATAGATAAGTTGGTAAAACTCACATGAAATTTTGCATTTCTTCCATGAAACGAAAGGAATGATTATTTACCTCAAGAAAGCAATGGCTTTATCTTACTATTTTATTTAAATAACAAGATAAAACATTAAACTGTCTAAGAATCTGACTTGATTTTTGAAATTCTTATTTTAATTGTAGGCTATGGCACAGAAGGAAGATATGGAAGAAAGAATCACGACACTTGAGAAGCGTTACCTCAGTGCTCAGAGAGAATCTACCTCTATACATGACATGAATGATAAACTAGAAAATGAGTTGGCAAATAAAGAAGCCATCCTGCGGCAGGTTCAGTATCTCTGTCTTGGTTTTGTTCTGGTCAATATATGAGTTCTTACTGCTCTCATAAAACATGTAGTAAATAAAATAAAGTCTTTTTCAGTAGGTGCTTGATTAATAATTCTCTAAAATTTAATCATTGTCTATGACTGCTTTTGTGCTACAACAACAGAATTGAGCAGTTGGGACCAACCAAGGTCATATGATGCACAGGCCTAAAGTATGTTCTGTCTAGCCTGTTACAGAAAAAGTTTGCCAACCTTATTTCTAGATTCTGGACTCAGTCTAGCCGCAGTCCCTCTCCCACACTATTTTAATACTATGATTTTCAATGTTTTGCTGTTGTGGTACATCTGAAGTCTTAGTATTGAGCTATATTCCACTTGTTCAAGTTTATACTCATGAGTAATTTCCTTTCTTTTTGCTGCCAATGGTAAGAGTTTTTCTATTGTTTTTAATGTGTGGAATTTCATTAAGGAAAATGGATAAGTAAAACATGAAACCATGATGACAGTCATCCCTTTGCACATTTAGATGTGATCTTAGCTGATTTTAAATCCAGAATAATGGCTGAATTGCAAAGTCCCCAGTGAGTGGTATATGCTATCCTTACTCTAACCCTTTAAGTGTCTCTGCTACCATTCCAATTTCAGATGGAAGAGAAAAACAGACAGTTACAAGAACGTCTGGAGCTAGCTGAGCAAAAGTTGCAGCAGACTATGAGAAAGGCTGAAACCTTACCTGAAGTAGAGGCTGAACTGGCTCAGAGAATCGCAGCCCTAACAAAGGTACTGCACTAAAACAATTGGCCAACCTAGACACTGTAGAAAAGAACTGGCAATCAAAATGAAATCTAAAGATTTTGTTTTAAGCTCTAGAAAATTAGTTATTTAATTTTTTCTATATTGGTCTGTTATTTATTGAACTTTTTCTTATTGCACATATTTATGCTGATGTGAATAATTAATGTACAAATGTGATGGTCCTCTTGCCTATTTAAACATTAATAAAACAAGCAATATTCCATGTGATTGTTATGGTTAATTTTTATGGTAATGTTTGCACATAAAAATAATCATGGAACAAACACACAATGATAATGTTCTATATATCTATATTAGATGCATAACAATTTAATAGGCTTACATAAATTGTTATTAGAAGTCTAGTAAATATAACCTGTTGATGTCTCTCTAACTATGATAAAACTAAAGTCTAACTTCACTAAAGCCATTACATAAGCAGAAAGTGGTTTTTATAGTTGTAATGTCTGCTGAAAAATTGAAATCAATAATACTCTGAAGATTGTACAAAAATTTATGCCATAACATTTCCAGTAGATCCTTCAACTATCTGCATATTTTAGAATTTTGCAACCATTTGAATGTTAAAAAGATCTAGTCTGATATTTTACTGTCAAATAGAAATGACATTGCTTCAAAGTATACATTCAAATCACTAATGTATAAAAAAGTCCACTTTGTCTTTAAAAGCATGTTTGACTTTTGATATTAATTCAAAAATCATATATTTCAGATGTTTACACAAATTTTACTATTTGCTAAGTTTTCTGGGCCACTGCAATAAATGAGTTTGATAGGTATATGGACTTCAAGTTAAACATTCTGGCATTAAGCACTACCCAATACACCTGATGCAAATAGACATACACATTGGTAGGAAATACACACACACATGCATGGTTTCCTGAAAAAGTAAATAATCAAAGATGAGCAGTGGACTGATCTGTACGTTGATTAAAATAGAGAAGTTAACCAGGTAAAACAACACAAACATTGGGCATAGTATAGCAGGATTAGAACGTGTTGAAATCGTTGGTTGTCTATAGAGTGTTAGAATAACTAGTTGAATAAAACATTAGTCTGATTAGAGTAAGATTACAATCTGGATCCTTCTATGGTCACAACACATATCAGTAAGCCCCTCTGGCAATTTCAGAAATGTGTGGTTCTAAGATAAAGAAGAATCTATTCTTTAGCTTAAAGAATTTTCTAAATTATATAAAGCTATTTAAACATAGTAGATTTCAATTTTTTTCAAAACACAAATTTTAAATCAGTATCAGGATTAAGATATTCATACTTAGCCTTTTTATCTGAGGTACATAAAGAACTTTCATCAAGAATTATTATATTGAATTGCACTTTTTGGGGGCACTTAGATGAGTGACTAAATAAGAAAAAAATAACTTTTATAAAATATTATTGTGAAATAATCATTAATATTATCTTGGCTGAACTACCAGAAAGTATGGAATCGCCCCCAAAGAAACATAATTTATAATTCAGTAAATCATTGCCCACATTGATAGACTCAGAATAAAACATAAGTTAAAATATAATATTTGACTTCTAAGCCTTTAAATGAAATATTCCTAAAACACTATGATTTAAAATATTAAAAAATAACTAGAAATAGATGTCTTATCTTTGCCCTTCTCCTGTTTAACTTCTTTGAACATTTTGATACATTTCTCCAGATGCACAAGATAATCCTCAATTTACTGTTAGCTAATATATTGCCAAAATTTCACTTTCTCTGAATTCCTTTGATCTCATCATTTTTTCAAAAAAAATTTAATCCTTCTTAAAATATTCACTGCTATAGTCTGCTCTCCTTTTTACCACCATCTCTTTTGACTAGTGCTCAACAACGTATCTCAGACATACAGTTATTATATTACCATATTCAATCTGGTACAAAAGCTCCTTTATATTGAGATTTTATCCTGAACACACTCCCTTTGCTTGTAACATTTTTATAACATTTGAGATTCTCTCTTTTATGTGTTCTCCCAAGTTTTATAGCTTCAGCAATCTTGTACTTTTTCTTGTACTCTGTTCTCAAGACCTTTAGGAACTGTCTTCAGAACCTGCTTTTTTTTAGTCAATTTCAATTTTTTTGAAATATTTCCCTATTATTGATCAATATAGTCTTTTTCTACTTCTTAACCCTTATGAGTATTCACTAAAGTAAAAATATTTATGCTCAGATAACATATGAGCTCCTCTATCGTATATTTTGAGTGGTATTCTTAACTCCGCAAGCATTTTATCTGGCCTACAAATTTTTCTATTTTTACTGTTTGTTACTTCTCCTCTCTTAGTTTAGGCCCTCCTTTTAAACTTTAATTTCTCTTCTATTTCTGAGTATATTCATGCTGTTCTCAACACCATTTCTGCCTTTATTTGAAAACTTTAGCTCACTTGAAATTTTCCTGTATCGCATTAAAGGATGAAACCAAGATTAACCCAGTTTCTCATCAAGGAACATAAAAAAATAGACTTTTTCAGTTTGATCTTTGTAGTTACACCAATTGTCAAAACTGTAGGCTTCACATAGAATATATGAACATAGATCGGTAGTGTTGGTTGAAAATTGATTCCAGTATTGGTCCTAATATAAATGATGCCTGAACTTATTCTTTGTTTGATAAGACTATTTTTTTCTTCTTCTAGTGTGTGTATGTGTGTATTGGGGGGTGAAGTTTATTTAAAACTTTTAGAAAGTCAAAGTTATTGATTATTGGCTATGGATAAAAAACTTTTACTTTGGCAAATGTTTGCATAATTAACCAATAAAGATTATTTTGGGCTTCCAATTCTATGATTTATTATGTATAAATCTTTAATTAAAATGTATATTCCCTTTTCAAAGAAGTAATTTATCTTTAATCCCAGAGGTATTTTGTTCATTTTTAATACCAATAAAACATAGCAGCAATAACATAATAATTTAAATAGGATAGAATTCTTGTTTCATCTCTGAAGGGAATTTTTACAATTTTGGTGTGTTTGGTGTGTTTTTAATAGGTAAATCAGAAAGGGATAGAAGATTTTTAAATAATTAAAAACTTGCCGGGCTCGGTGGCTCAGCCTGTAATCCCATGCCTTTGGGAGGCTGAGGTGAGTGGATTGCCTGAGCCCGCGGGTTCGAGACCCGCCTGGGCAACTTGGTGAGACCTCATCTCTACAATAAATCAAAATGAGCCGGGCATGGTAGTGTGTGCCTGTAATTCCGGCTACTCGGAAGGCTGAGGCGGAAGGATCGCCGGAGTCCAGCAGGCAAGGCTGCGGTGGCCGGGAGCAGCCACTGCACCCCAGTCTGGGCGACAGAGTGAGACTCCAACTCAAAAATAAATAAATAAATAATTAATTAAAAACTTGTAATTTTTAAATATTCATGTCCTATCTTGAAACAGTCACCAAATTAATTTTAATACCACTAACTGACCCATTGTTAATATTTGTAATTATTAATTCTTAATAGAATTCTATTACTAATGGAATCCTAAGTTTTAAATATTATAAAGTCATTTTATGGCATTAGGGGACCATGGTAACTCTCTGTGTTTCTTCTGCTTGGAAATTTGGGGAGGACATGTGGGAAAGAATTGGATTATATCTATGTCTTCATTGTTTTCCACATTTATAAAACAAGAATATCTGAAGGAAAATCTTACAAAATGTTAATGTTGAGTTATAATTTGCATAAGCACACCAGATTTGTGTTAAATGTTTATTTCATAGATTAAGTTGGAATTGATTGCATAAAATAGTACATATATATCTGAATTGTTACATGAATAAGTTACTATTTATTCTCAGTTATGGAATGACATATTTATATATAGTTCTATATAGACATAAAGTAAGTTTCTCTGTTTTTGAATGAACTTAGAAATTGTGATTTTAAAAAATGCTCTGTAGTCAAATGTTTATAGTCCTGACATATGGCCCTTTTGATATTATATTATTTAGTTTGCTATTATTAAAATGTTGATGTAACTTTATATGTAATTCTTGCATAACATACTAATACAATTCAGCTATCAGCAATGTCACATGTGTTGAACACTCTGCACTTGTGGTAACCTGACAGTCACCTCCCAGACATGCAACTAGCCTTGGCACGAGGCAAACACTAGTTCACAGAGGCATTGTGTTGCCTATTCACTTTAGGACTTCATTTTGTTTCCACAGCAACAAATCAACACAGGAACAGTTTTGGAGTGATCCCTCATGTCATTTAGCAGGGTTCACAAATAAGTTTTCTTGTCATGGTAACATTGTCACCTTGATAATTTGAGGACTTTTAATCATATTCATTTAAACTTTCCAGTTAAACCTATACCTGTGAATAGGCCTTTTAGTTCTAGACCAATGACCAAAATTTGCATTTAGAGACCAGGAGTCATTTCATCCGTTTTCCGCTGTTGCTGAGGAAACTCAATCTTGCTTGAATTGGGGAATACTCATAATAATTAACCCTGTGGCTTAGTTTTTTTTCTCTAATTTCTGCAGAGTAGGGTTTATAGTAAATTTTATTACACATAAATTGTACCTGAGTCATTGCCAAGCCTACTACTCACACAGAGATATGTGTTTCCATTATTTTTAAGTAATATAAACGAACAAACCAAAATACAAACTTTAAACAATCTATCAGAGACATATTCTGGCGTTTGGTTTCCCATAATTCCAATTATTACAAAAGTCTTTCAAAGTTGCTTTAATTCATTCTGTAGTAGTCTTTCATTGCCAGTCATCACTAACCTTTCATACTTAGGTTGATAGCTTTTTATTTTAGCATATTATTGTTTTTCATCTATAATCATCAACTGCATCATGTTCATCAGATATCAGTGTAGTTCTTTCCACTTAAAGTTCTGTCTATTAAAGTATTAAATTTGCTGTCACACTTTTCTTTTAAGCATTCTGTGCTATGTTCTGTTCAGTGTCAGTGTCTTTAGTTCTGATTTTTCAATTTTGTCCCTCTCCTTTTCCTTGACTTGTTAGTCTGATCCAACCTCTTCTACCTCATCTGATGATTATCAATATGTTATGGAAGCTAAACTACAAGAAATGATCTCCATACGTAGGAAGGTAGTCCTACTGGACTTTACTTTCTATTGCTAAATAGAATCCATCTAAGTTTTTCTTTTCATTTATAAAAATTATGTTACTTTTATTTATTGATAATCAACCATCTGTGCAGTTCAGTGCTTCAGGAGCTTAAGATTGGACAATGGCAGGTTTGTGTTCAAACCATGCACAGTCTGCATGTTACATTTGGCTGAATTCATTGCTCATAAATAACTCCAATGTTTTGCTGATGCTTGGATGTAACAGGCCTTTGTAGCTGACACATTTCAAGCAATGCTGTTCAGCTGCCTGTTTAAATAAAGTTTATTTTTTGAAAACTATGTTTGCGGTTGGTAGTAGCTTGCTTTATATTTTATTTCAACTTATTTAGAGGAAAAGAGTTAACCAAATCTTACATTTCAGGTGCATTCTTCATATTTCTTAACAGGCTGAAGAGAGACATGGAAATATTGAAGAACGTATGAGACATTTAGAAGGTCAACTTGAAGAGAAGAATCAAGAACTTCAAAGAGTATGTATATTAAAAACTATTCCCCAGTTGTCACAATTTATATTCTACACATAAGAAGCAAGTCTTTACTGTGTATGGGTTATATTTAAAATCTATGGATATGCCCTGAGCATTTTGAACACAAAATATTTCCACGAATTTAATCAAAACAGACATAAAACTAAATCCAACTTAAAACTAGCAAAATTATAAAAACAATCTCACATTGTTTTGAAATGGGTTTTCATGTCAAATGTATTTTATTTTATTTCCTTTTTCTTGAACACAAGGCTAGGCAAAGAGAGAAAATGAATGAGGAGCATAACAAGAGGTTATCCGATACGGTTGACAGACTTCTGACTGAATCCAACGAACGGTTACAGCTCCACTTAAAGGAAAGAATGGCTGCTCTGGAAGAGAAGGTAAAATGGTAGAGGGGTAACATCGCAGTCATGTTTAGTGACATGCATATGATTATGCTTGTTTTATTTACCACTGCAATCCTTGTATCGGTCAGATGAGCCATTTACTTAACTCGTTTTAAAACACAGCTGATATATTCTTAGAAGGTAATAAATAATTCTAGTAAAATATAAGATCAATTTTTAAATGAATAAAAAATGTTGCATTATATATGAATCTTTTACATTCACATATTCATATGAGGCAAACGTATTAAAATGTGCTGTGCTTTTGTGATGAAAATATTGTATTTATCCTTCTTCTGGTATGCCAAAGAGAAGAATGAAAAGACAAAAATAAATACCTGGGGGTGTGTGTAGGAGCTTGACTCAAGCTAGTCATATGTCTCAAGTGACTGATACCTACTCCCGGTCTAAAAGTAAAGATGTAAGTGAGTTTATATCATCACTAAAACTTGTATCAATCCAAGGAGAGAGTTTAGGAATCCATTATTTCAGAAAAAGTGCTTTTGTTCCATTTAATTTGATTCACAATTACATATGGCTAATTGATAGTTGGCAGCTACCAGACCAGCAAGAGTTATGTGAGCTGGTTGCCAATTTCTATAACATAAACAGAGGTAGAAAATAAAACCCAGGTGGACATATCATTCTGGAAGTTTGAAATAAATGCCAATTTATTTAGTTAGACATTTTCCCCTGAAATATAAACCAAAATATGGAAAATGTTTCATGAAATGCTAAAGCAGTTTGATTAATTTACCCATTAGATAGTTATATAAGACATGCCATCTTCCCAAAGAACTCCAAATACACGACCACTATGCAATCATCGTACTCTTTGTCGTTTTTACTCTATAAGTTTGTAAAGAACACGTGATTTTATTTATTTATTAATTTATTTTTTATATCAATTTTTTTTTTTTTTTGAGTTGGAGTCTTACTCTGTCTCCCAGACTGGAGTGCAGTGGCCGCTCCCGGCCGCCGCAGCCTTGACAAGCTGGGCTCCGGCGATCCTTCTGCCTCAGCCTTCCAAGTAGCCAGAATTACAGGCATGCGCTACTCCACCCAGCTGATATTTTGACTTATTGTAGAGATGAGGTCTCGTTGCCCAGGCGGGTCTCAAACCCGCGGGCTCAGGCAATCCACTCACCTCAGCCTCCCAAAGGCGCAGGATTACAGGCTGAGCCACCGAACCCGGCTTGAACATTTTTTCATGGGTCTGTTGGCTGCTTGGATGTCTACCTTTGAGAAGTGTCTGTTCATATCTTTTGCCCACGTTATAATGGGGTTGTTTGTTATTTTCTTTTCAGCATGTTTGAGTTCCTTGTAGAACCAAGATATTAAGCCATTATCGGACCTGGAGTTGGCAAAAACTTTTTCCCAGTCTGTGGACTGTCTCCCTGCTCTCTTGAAGGTTTCTTTGGCTTTGCAGAAGCTTGGTCAGTTTAATGAGGTCCCGCTTCTCTATCTTATCTCTTATGGACTGTGGGTTTCGGGTTTTGTTCAGGAATTGGATGCCAGTTCCAATTCCCATAAGGGTATTTCCTGCATTTTCTAAGGTTCTTACGGTTTGAGGTTTTACATTTAGGTCTCTAATCCATTTAGAGTTAATTTTTGTGTATGGGGATAGATAGGGGTCCTGTTTAAGTCTTCTGCATGTGGTCAGCCAGTTTTCCCAGCCCCATTTACTGAATAGGTTCTCTTCTCCCCAGTGGTAGGTGGTGGAAGCTTTGTCAAAGATGAGTTGGTTGAGAAATTGAGGTTATGCTTCTGGAATCTCAATTCTATTCCATTGGTCTATATGCTTGTTCCTGTAGCAATACCAAGCTGTTTTGATTATTGTAGCTTTATAGTAAAGTTTGAAGTCTGGTAATGTGATACCACCTGCTTTGTTT